TTAAAACTAGTGGTAGGATTTCTACCTCCTATGTAAGTCCTACCTGGTATGTGAATCATTTACTTGATGTTTAAAATTCCGTATAGCTGGGTATATCATAATTGGTCTAGGGGAAAACCAGGAGCACTGGAAATGGTAATCATCAGGTAGCATTAATTTGCATTTAGGATAGCAGTAGCCTACTTTGTAAAGATGTTTGATGTACTAACTATAAACAAATGTTTAATAAATGTTATGCATCTAATGCCCTTAGCCAATTAAAAAAAATAATAATAATAAATAAAAAATAAATTCAACCTAGCTTAAAATCAAGAAATTCTGTCTAGGAAAAAGCTTTCAGATCAAAACAAATAATTGATTATTATTAATAAGAACTAAACCTATAGCAATTTTTTTATCAGTTTTGTTAATATCAAATAACAGTAAAATAGAAATCTAAACAAATAGCATCAATTGTATTAATACATATCAAAAGTTAAAAATTACTATTCAAAAAACATTATCAAAAAAAAAAAAAATTTAACTGGCAATTTTGAATACATATGTTACATATAATTTCAAAAAAAAAAAATTTAAGTATTACTAATCAAAGTCAAAGTGTATAATTAAGACATAACCAATAACCAGATTGACAAAAACAACTAGAAAAAAACAAGAAATTTTATAAGAAAAACTGTTTAAATTTTTTCAATTTCAATTTTCTTCTGGAATATTATTTCAATAAATATTTCAATAAATTCATTTATTAAAAATTTATATAAGAGAAAAATATTAATCCAATGAATTAATTAAAACAGATTCAAACTAGATGAAAAAAGAAGATTCAAAATTAAAAAAAAATTAACTGGAAAGAATTTTGAAACTATTTTAAAAAAAAAGATATATTAAGTATCTTATTTAAGCAAATAAAAGATAGAATATTTAAAATCAAGTTTATTTATAATGAATTTTCTATACTAGACAATATATTTAAATATAATAAAACAAGTTACAATAGATATATAAAATGTGTATTCTGCAAAATAGAAGAAAAAACATTAGACTATCTCTTAATATACAAAAAAAAACTTACAAAATAAAATATAAATACTTCTATAAAAAAAGCTCTTAAAAATATAAATTTCTAAATATTTCATTTCCAATAAATTAAAACAAAAAAAAAAATTATCCAACTATTAGAATAGTAAAAAAGAGAAATATCAAATTTGCTAAAAAAATAATTAATTTAAGTATTGAACTATGAAAAAAGAAAGATATCTTGAAGTAGAAAATAGGTTTTCAAATTGTAAAAATTTCTTGTACTTATATTGTATATACAAACTGCTAATCAAGATATTTAAAACTTCTTAAACTGTATATATGAAATTTCAAATATAAAAGAGTTCAAAAATATAAGAAATCACCAAAATTCGAATTAAGAAAAGAAAAAGAAAAAGAGATAGAGTTAATAATATTGTCAAAACTATATATATAATTATATTATTAATCTTTATTATATATGATAATATAATTTTCAATTAAATATAATTTTCAATTAATTTATTATATTTTAAATAGTAATTTGATTTTTAAAAAATATTTGAATTCAATTTTATTATATGTATAATCAAAACTATCTGAACTATTATTAAGTTTACTCAAGAAAAAAAAATTTAATAAATTATAAGAGAAAAAAAAAGATTTATTCAAAAAATATATTCTATTATTTTTAAATCCTAACAAAAAAGAAACTAATTATATTAACTTGTTAAACAATAAAACAAAAAAAGAAAAACTTATAAAGAAACTTAAAGAAATTCTATAAAACAAGATCAAAGAAAGAAAAAAATAATTGGAAATATATAAAGTAATTAAGATTTTGAAAAAACAAACTGTAATAATAAATTGCAAGTAATAATTTTAAAATATATTTCAAGACAGATATATATTGTAAAAATAAGTAATTTTATTTATTTTCAAGATTATATCTAAAAATAATTTAATTCAAGATAGGTATTAAAGTATTATTTATTAAAAATATATATATAAAAGTTATAAAACTATTATGTATTTTATATTAAGATTAAATAAACTTTATATATACTTGTTTAATTATAGAAAATATATATATTGTATATATATATATAATTAAATATAAATAAATAATATAAATAGATTTGAAAAAATCATCTTCTGATTATATTTATTTTGTTAAAAATCCTTTTTTGATTATATTTATTTTGTTAAAAAAATTTTTTTTATAATAATTTTAAACAAAAAAAAATATTTTTTATTTTTTATTACAAGTAAATTCTAGTTTAAAAACTTAAGAACTTTCAAAATAACTAATATAGTAGAATAAAATCTTTGATTAAAGTTTACTCAAATTTGTAAGTTTTACTTATTCTTCAGTTATATAAAAAAAGACTTTAACAAGACCTATGGGTCTATAGCTCAGTGGTAAAGCTCCATAGATCACCAGGTGAAGGTCTAGGGTTCAACCCCACCTGGTTACAAAAATTTATCACCTTTATGTTTGGTTGACTGGCTTCCAATTCATGTCGTACCCAATCAGCTAAAAATCACATCCAAATTTAGTTAGGTTGCATGAAGATGGAATCACTGGTCTTCCCAACAATCGCAAACTGAAAACAGGTCGAAGCAAGGAAGGTTGCATGAGGAAAGGCTTCTGGTCTAACTCTGGTAAAAAAAAACACACTCTAACCCAAACTGGCGATAACAGACTCCATCACACAATCCCCTAAAAAGATATTAATTCTAAGCCGTTCTATCCCAATCTGGAGCTTGTAGATCTATCCCAATGGTGGCATTCTATGGAACTTAATTATATGACTGAAGGGCAAGGTATCAGCCACAGGTGGTGAGAATACTAGACAAAAATCATTAAGCCAAGTGTATCTAGTGAGGACCTACAAGATTAAATTGGAATCAAAGCAAGGACGCCAGTTCCACAGGTGGTGAAAACGGTAGTACTATGTTATGCTAGTGGTACATCCTAAGGATCGGTGATAATAGTGACTGGAATACTGGTGTTAATTTCTATAATAATATTTCATAATATGCCTTACTCACGACGGATGCAGTCGCGACAGGACCTAGTAGGAAGGTGGTTTAAACTAGTGATAGGATTTCCATTCCTATGTAAGTTCCACCTGGCATGTAGATTATCTACTTGATGTTTAAAATTCTGTATAGCTGGGTATGTCATAATTGGTCTAGGGGAAACCGGGATTATTGGAAACAGTGATTATCAGATAGTATTAACTATTATTTAGGATAGCAATAGCCTACTTTGTAAAGATATTTGATGTAATGATGATAAACTTATGTTTAATAAATGTCTTGCATCTAATGCCCTTAGCCAATTAAAAAAAAAAAAAAACTTTAACAAAATTATCTTTTTTTTTTTGTTTGTATTTCTCCTTATCTTTACTATATTATAAAAATTATTTACATTAATATTATTATACTTATTAAATTATACATTTTTTAAAAAACATACTCAAACAAAGTTGTTAAATTTATTGTTTGTTTTAATACAATCTTTATATATAATCCTATTATAACAATACTTATTATATATTTTAAAATTTTTAAAATTTTTTTTTTAAAAAATCCAAATCAATTTATTCTTCCAGATACTTATTGTTTTTCAAGTATCCAATAAAGCAAAAACAAAACCTTTTTAAATCAGTTTTTTAATATAATAATAATAATAATAATTATTATTACAATAAACAACAAATATTATTATTAAAATAAACAATATCAATTATACTTTATTGTTTATATTAACAAAAATAATATTAACAAGTAGCAAGAAACCGAAGAAATAAAACATTGAATCAAATTAGGAGTTTTCTTGAGAATATTACTTTTATTATTATTTAAAAACAATTTGATAAATGATTTTTTATTTTATTTAACTTTTAAAAATTTGTTAAAAAAAATCTTGATTACTTTATTTTTTTAAAAAAATTAATATAGATTAATTATTATATTAAATTAAAATTATTAATATAAAGCAAACTTATAATTTATTTATCAGATCTGTTATTTTATTTTTATTTGTAATTGGTTTAATCAAAATTGATAAAGAAAACTTAAAGATATTTTAAATTGATTTTATTAATATTGTTTTTTCAAAACTAAATTAATAATTTAAATAATTTAAACTAGTAATAAAATTTCTACTTCTTAAATGAATTTTCAAAAACATATTTATTTAAAGAATATAAATCACTTTTTTGAAATCAAAAACAAATATAATCAATTAGTATTAAGCTGTAATTTAATATTACAAATAATGTTTAATGTAATTATAATATCATATATACGTATGTTAATTAGTGAAAAACATCTAATGCATATTTTACTATTAAAAAAAAAAAACTATCAATTGTATTTTAATTCTCAATTGATTTTTAACAAATACAATAATGATATTGTTAAAAAAATCATTTCGTAAAAAAAAGAAATGCCATTTATAACTTAAAAATAAATTATAAAGTCACGTGCAATATATTGATTACGTTTTTTTTTTTTACTTATCTGTTATCTGTCCAGAGATCTCAAATACAATCTGCAAAAATGCACCTATCTAAAATTGGAAAAATCTTTACTCGTAGCAAATATTTAACATAATGTTACATGTTTAATGTCAGCAGATACAGAGAAAATTTTTCCTCTTTTTTTAATATCAAACGTTTGAATAATTCCCATCCTGATGATAGACTGACATAAATTAGTGAAATCAATTATTTTACTGACTACAATACAAATCTTTATAAATAAAAGAAGCGTTAGTGTTTCACGATTGTAAAAATACAGTGAAAAGTATGTAAACTACTGAATATTATTACCAAATAAATCGAGTTAAAGAATTAAGGTAATTATAAGGTGAAATCACTTGATCTCGATTTAAAGTCCGTTATAAGAATATAGATTATTAGAAATTTCTCATTATTAATTGTCCCCCTAAAATATAGTCCTTTTGATTCTTAGTTTTGATGATCACGATACATTTGTAATGCGCGAATAATTTGATCTGGATCGGCAGATATTTGATCAAATACACGCAAAACTTTTTCGTACTTTTTGAGACGCAGAGTAGAAATTGCATTCTAAAATTTAAACAGCATACAAGAATTAGTAAAATTCGTGAAATTTTAAGAAACGATAAAAGCGAGTAAATACCTCAATTCTTGTGATCAAGCTCTCAAAAATTCTCTCTAGCTCTTCATCGCCTGCATTATCTTTTACATGAAAAGTCAAGAGTCCTGTCAAATAATCGGTCCTTGAGTTTCGGGATGGTCGCTGACCAACATTTCCAGATGAAATACGCTCAAGGCGTAAACAGAGATAACCAAGCCTTCGAATATGCGATGGATCCAATGATTGGGGATGTGTGGGTTCAATCACCTTTTAGGAGAAACATTAAGCTTCCCGAAGTATTTTCAATTAACAAAAAATTAGCAAAGCGAGCATTGATAAATACCTCGGCCACTATGGAATTACGAGCTTTTATTTCATCTTCTTTCAATCGGCCTTTTAACTTTTCTGGATAGACCTAGAACAAAAAAAAAGTACCTTTGGTGAGCGATATGAAATTAGAAAACAGGTTAAATTTCATCATTTATTATTCCTCACCAACGACAATACTTCGGCGTTTTCGAGTCCTTTAAGTTTTCGTTCACCAATATTTTTCACAACAAAACCCATCTTCTTCAAGGCAATAGTATTCTTATCAATTACGATCTCTGGATTAGTAGAATTTATTGTTTCTTGCATCTCGCTATCCCCACTAGTACTATTTTTCCTCGATAAAGAATCCATATTGTCACCCTCCATTATTCCATCTAATAACCTAATTTCAGTTTCTATATCGGAGCTAATGCAAATCTGTCCTCCGTCTGCTGCATTACAAATTCTAGCAGCTCTGTTAACCATTGGGCCAAAATAATCCATTCTATTCGTTATAATGTCGGGTTCGCACACAGGAGAACCCCAATGTATACCCATTCGAACTGACAACCCTCTATACAAAACCTCATCATCTGATCCACGTATTTCTTTTCCGTCTTCAGAGTCGATGATTTCTTGTGGCCAATCAACATTTAAAAGTTCTATTTGTACCGTAAAACACCATAGTAGAGCAGAAGATACTGTTGGAAATGAAACCATAAAAGCATCTCCTTCTGTTTTTACTTCGTATCCACCTATATTACGGAGCAAACGACGCATTAAGGAATTGTGATGCTTAATAGCAGACCTCATGGCAATAGGGATTGTTTCCCACAAAAAGGTTGAATTTTTTATGTCAGTAAAAACCAGAGCAACTTTTCCGACTGGCGGTGGGATTTCTTTTTCCAATCGTGCCATGGTTGAATCGTTAGGTAATTCTTCATGTCTAAATCGTTTTTTACTGTTACCAAACATTGTAATTGTCCCGGCTTCATAATGTCTGTCCCTTCCTGTGAATCGCATGCTTGACTTCTGTTCAAATAGATCACCTATACCAATAATCATTACCATAATATTCTTGTCCACACCATATGCAATGGCAAAATCACGTAACTTTTGTGCAGCCAACATGAGATCATCTTTCTCCATCCTTGCTATATCAACAGCAGTTTGAGGACTCATGTGATCCCATAATCTCCGTGTTGCCAATATCAAGAATTCATCCTGTTCGGAAAGGCTAACCATTTCGATAATGGGATTCCCGTTAAGTATTGGTGACAAGTGGAAGTGACCGAAAGAACGCGAGACGTCAAATTCTTTATTCACTAAACAATCATGTGAGATGAAACCGTTTGCTTCCCGTATTCTCTCAACTTCATCTGAAACCCCTAAGCACTTCGCTATCGGCAGTGCGTTTCCACCGCGACATATAACTGCCCCGGTATCACCAATATTAGCTACGTACAAATTAGTCCCGGCAATATAAACCACCAGACCGGAAGCACCTGACTTGTTATCATTAATTCCTATATGTGAAGAGTGTCCGCTTTCGGTTTCTCGGGTATAGGTCGCCTCCATACTAGAGTTGAATACCTTTGATCCGAGCTCTTTATTTAATCCCAAGAAGGAACGTCTTAAAGCTGCTTTGATTTCGAACGTCTCGTTGTCCTTAATCTTATCGAGTTCAGATTTAAAGTGAAATGGGAACCAATCATGAAGATATTTTGTGACTTGTCCGCCCTGATTAGAACCTACACGAGCATCAAATAACCCGAACAGGCATTCGTCATCTCGTTCACGAAACTTTGGTATCACAGATTCCCACGTGGAAAGATTAAGGACATCGGATTTTCCCAAGGTATCAGCCATCCCATATGACATGTTGTTTACCACTGAAACGGATGTTCGTACGCGACGATTATCCGTCTCCTCCGGGACCGTTAACTGCAAAAGCGTAATGTCCATAAGACCAAGAACTCTGAGGTGAACCAATGAACTAAAATCAGCCAAATTGCGATTTGGGAAAGGATTCATTTCATTCAGATGTACGTGTTTTATCTTGAAGCGCTTATTTCCCGAGAGATTCAGATATTTAAGCTCAAAATTCCAATTCCTGTGTAGAATCAAAATAAATATCAGCTTGTTGTTAATTATCAATAATGAAAATGATCAATTCTTACCAATTCCACTCGTATTGCCAATTGGTGATGTTATATCTTAAGAGGTTGCATCCGACATCTAGCACCATGAGTTTCCGTATTTTACCTAATTCAGCGGGTAAAGTATGAAACTCATTGCCGTTGAGGTGAAGGATCCTCAAGTTGGTTAACTTTCCAATATCTTCAGGTAGTGTAGTCAACTGATTGCCAGAAAGATACAATTCAGTTAGATGCTGACTTTTAATTTTTTCTATGGGAACTTGACCCAACTCATTAAATGATAGATTCAAGATTTCAAGCTCGGTGAACAAAGAAACGGCGGAGAAGATATCGGCGGTAAGATGGTTGTCTGCTAGGTATAAATGGTGAAGCGAAAGAGCAAGCGGAGGTTGGTCATTTGTTCCTGGTTGGTTTTTAGGTGGGGAAGGAAACTCTTCTAGAAGATTCGAGCTTGCGTTCAAGGTGACCAAACTTTTGCAAAGCCATATCTCTTGTGGTAGAGACTTGAGATTGTTATTATGAATATCCAGTACTTTTAAAGATATTAAACCGCTTATCTCGCTAGGAAGCGCCGAAAGTGTGTTTTTCGTACAGTAAAAGTGTGTCAAATTTGTCATTAGTTCTATTTTCGACGGAATTGAATATAGCTGGTTACTACAAAATCTAATCTCTCTAACTTTCGAAAGATGTTCAAACAGGGAATCGGGTAAAGTAGTGAGTTTTGAATTACATAACGAAAGTTCACTCAACGATTCTCCTGTTCCTTTAAGCGAAAATTGCGTGATATTATTTTTGGACATCGTGAGTTGTTTCAACGTATTGGAAAATAGGTCCATAGTGGTCACATTGTTATATTCGGCCCGAAGAATTTCAAGATTAGGAACCTGAGAGAGGCTGTCTAGATTGCTAATCATATTTCGGCGAACGTCTAACATTTTCAGTGAAACTAAATCTCGAAAACTCTCGGGAAGTTTATCTGTTATTTGATTGCCAATTAAAAACAACCGACTAAGATTGACGAGCTGACCAATTTCATTGGGAACAGAAATTATCTTGTTGTAACTTAAGTCCAGTTCCGAAAGTGTTTTGATTTCACAAACTACCAATGGAAACTGCGTGAAATAATTGTTCGAAAGAATTAACATGCTTAATGACCTAAAGTCAGCATAGCAGTCGGGCAAACTTTGTAGCAAGTTGTTTTGGACGTACAGTTGTTTCAGTTCTCCGATCTTCTCCAGCGAGACGTTTTCAAGATTTTTCAGTCTGTTAGAACTTAAATCGAGCAAAGAGAGTATGTCCGTACATCCCACTGATTGTGGGATCTGGTCCAACTCATTCTCTGAGAGGTAAAGCATGCGCAGACGTATGCAAGATTGTATAAAATCTTTGGGAAGATCGAGCATGAGATTTTGGGAAACATTAAGTGAAACAATCTCGTGAGCATGTCGATAAAGAAATATTGGAATAGTTTGCAAGTTTCGTGCTCGAAGACCGACGTTCGTAAAGGATGAAAATGTGTCTTCTTCCTAATTGACAAAAAAATTTGAACCGTTGTACATTACATTTCGTGATGAATAATAACTAAAGGTAAAACGAACGCAAGTCACCTCAAATCTCGGCACCGAGGTTTCCCGAAATGTGAATCGAACCAAGTAACTATTATCCTCTCTCCCAAGATCTTCCAGATTATCATTCTCCGTGTATCCCGCTTGTTCCAACCACCTCTTTTGTAACTGTAACGGTCGTTCATTTGGTTGCA